CAGGGGCGCCTGGGGCAGAGCCGGACTATCGGAAGGGGGGGCTATGAGAGGCCTGAGGTGGCATCCCCCCACCCCACTCCACCCCAGACCCCTCATAGCCCCCCCTTCCAATAGTCTGGCATATCTGATAATCCGGCACCCCCTGGGTCCTAAAGGTGCCGGATTATCGGAAGTTTAATGTACTTGGTATCTCTCAAATATTATGCATCAGGGATGAATTCTCTGGTCCTGTGTGAAGAATTTTAGTCCCTGACAGAAGATCCTTATTGTGAATAAGGTACAACTGATTGATGTTTGCCACCAGAAATGGAGATGAAAACCAACTTAGACAATGTGGGGCCATCTGACTCTTCTACAAGTTTGATTTTATTTTTTCTATTATGCTGGAGAATATTGTGAACAGAAAATAGTCAGTTATGCTTCTGGTGCCTGATCATCTTCTCATCTGGAATGAAAATTCAGTACCTTTGTTGGATCCCGGATGCTGGTTCATTCTTCCTTGTTGATAAAAGTCACTTCCAACGTGTTGCAAAACATAGATGTTGGCTGATCTGGGTTGGTGTCATAGTTCTTAGAACCCATCTGATTGCTCTGAGCTTGATTCAGTTGATACTATGTAGGAAGTCCATTCTTCCATTAACTCCAGATGAAATTGTTCCCCAAATGAGCTTCCTTTTGGACCTAGCATACATTTCTCCCAAACCCCATTAAGCTTATTTGATTCTGACATGCTATGAGCCTCTGAATGCACCTTGACAATGGGATAAAGGAGAGCCAAGGTGATGTGTCCTAGAAAATAATAAACTTCTGGAAAGAAATTAAGAAATTTCTGTAGAGGACAGAAGTGGAACATCACTCACAACAGAGATCTGGTGCAAGAAAACCGTTCTGAGACGTCAGAGCTCTTATAGATGTGACCGAGAAATGAATGACATGCTGTCTTATGGCCAAAAGTTTCTGAACCCTGTCCTTTGATGAAGACAAGCTTCTGTAGAGACTGATATCTCATAGAGGAGTAATATTGACCGAATGGGCGCCTGGTAGTGTAGACAAATCCAGATTGCCCAAATTGTGTTCTGGAACAATGGGATGGATGCTTTGTGCACCTTGTCCTTTTCTGATGAGCAGGTTGTTTTAGAACAGAGATTAACCCTTTTTTGCCCCAGGGAAACACAATGTGATCCAATATTTTGGAAAACATCCTTTTGGGGAGAGACAGGTGATCCAAAAGGTGAAGCAACACAACAGTAACATTGTCTTTTGCATATTAAACTAAACACCCTATGGAAGTTTCATATAATTATGTGTAACTTCTCTCTTACCCTTTCCTTTCTGGGTTCCTCAGGACCCGCCTTCTTATGTACTTAAATGCCTAATGTTGACAGTAATGGAGATCCCAAGTTTTCCCACGGTGATGTTGTATAGATGGGAATGCTCTATCCACTGCTTTGCTGCAGTCCTTTTACTTATAAAGGAAATTAACCTTAGTGTTGCCTCCCTCTGGCTGGGCCCTGAACACACTGGCATGACTGAAGAACCTCCAGGAGTAAACCTGAGCTAATCTATGCAATGGTGCCAGCTCAAAGGTACCACTTACAAACAACCAATATGCTTAGATGTAACACTTGTATTTGACAATTTCACAAAACATGATATAACAAATTAAAATTAATTACAGTGTCTCAACCAGTGTTCCAATTTTTATGTCCATGTGTGGAATGAATTTTATTATGTGCACCATGATGGAGGTGATGTGTGACACATAACGCCTATACAGATGCACATCACAGAACTCAATCTGCACATGGATGGTGTGTGGCAGGAGGGGGCTGAGGGCTGGGACAGAGCACTGGGATGTGTCAAGGGTGACGGTGATGACTAGGGGTGCAGGCTCTGGGGTAGGGCCAAAGATACCAGGCTTGGGGTGCAGGAGTAGGCTCAGGGCTGGGTTCTGTGGGAGAGTGAGTGCTCCAGATGGGGGTGCAGACTCTAGGGTGGGGCTGAGGAACGAAGGGTTTGGAGGGAATGCAGGCCTCTATGGAGAGAGAACACAACCCCCCGCCCCGTCACTGCAGCCACTCAGGACCAGATGAGAAGCACCTCTCCATGACTGCAGCAGCTCCAGCAGGGCCTGGCTGGGGAGGGGTGCCACAACATGGCTCTGGCATATCCAGGGTAGGCTGGGTAGGGAATGAGGAAGGGGCATCTCTGCCGCAGCCGCAGCAGATGCATGCCAGGGCTGGACTGGGGCTGGGAGGAAGTGCCTCTCCCCTGCCATGGAAAGTCCTGGGAAACTCTGTGCGCTGGGGCCAGCAGACTGAGGCACCTTTCTCCAAGTCACAGCAGTTCCACTCGATGGTTGGTGGTCAGAGATGTCTCTCTCCCAGTCATTTCAAGTCCCTGTGATTCCTATGGCATGAACTTGCAGTGTTTTCCTCCCATTTCTCAGATTTACAGAGGTACAAGAGCAAGGCAGAGGAAATAAATCTTTCAGGACTGAGGCTATGTCTACTCTAGGGAGTTTTGGCGACAAAAGTGCTATCAATGTGCAAAAGTCACCAAAAGTGAGGCTGGAGAG